CTCTAACACCTGTCAGTCTGCTCTGTACCATTCAACCCTTTCCTCCAACCCTCATCGGAAACTTCATTGTCATAACTCTTCCTCCTATTTTTCATTTTAAAAAGATATTTTTGTAGATATCTTGTTTATATATCACTACTTCCCATTGTATCCTTGCCTTTAAAATAAAGAAGGAAAAAGGAAGGAAAAGTTCAGATAATCTAAACAATATATTAGAAACTCTGATGTTACAGGCATTGCTTCACAGGGGTTTGGCTGATGAGCTGGGAAATAGCTGAGAGAACAGAGAAAACTAAGAGTTAAAACAATCCACAAACTGGAATAATAATAATAATCTTAATAATGATGATGATGATGATAACAACTGACATTTGTATAGTACCTACTATATGCTAGGCACTATGCTAAGTGCTTTATCAATATTATTTCATTGGATCCTCACAACAGTCCTGGAACGTAGGTGCTATTATTATCCCATTTTATAATTGAGGAAACTAAAACAAATAGAGGTTAAATGACTTGTCCAAGGTCACACAGCTAATAAGTGTCTGCGGTCAGATTTCAATTTGAGTCTTCCTGACTCCAGGCCTGGCTCTCTAGTCACTGTGCTTGCTTGATCTCCATAAAATCCAAGGGCTGATTGCCTTCTGTGAGAAGCTGAGGAGAAGTGAGAATGGCATCTCTTAAATGCCTAAGAGACCCACTGAGTAGCAGATGAGGGCTTATGGTATGGTTCTCTTTCCTAATGTACTGTTCCAAGAAGGAATCAGATGACTGAAGTTATTGGAAACCAAATGCTCCTCTTTTGTTTAGAGCACACACACACACACACACACACACACACACACACACATACACACACACACACACGAGCCACTCATTTTTGTGGTGAAATGAATGCATGCTCTAAAGCAAACAACTCTTCTTTCCAAAGGGGAGAGGTCAGCTCTGAGCTCATGTGTGATCTCTGGGGTGAGGATCCTAATAAATTATCCAAATGGGCAGAGACTTCCATTGGTAAAGGGATTTAAGATAATCTTTTTTTAAAAAATGTCCCAAGAGTAGCTTCCTATTTCTTTTCCTCTTGAAATATTTGAATTTCAGTTGCTGATCCGTGTCAGCAGCAAAAAGAGATAAAGAGAGAAGGAAGAATAGAGAGGGATACTCAACTGATACCAGACAATTTAAATCTAGTTATCAAAAGATCACAGAATCATATACTTAGAGGAGGAAGGGTCCTTAGAGATCATATCACTCAGTTTCAAAGTTTTGCAGATGAAGAAACCAAGACCCAAAGTGTTGAGGGGACATCTAATCCAATCCAATCCAATGCTAATCCATACACTGGTCAAGCTGTAATTTGAACCCAGGTTCCCTGACCACAGATCCACTATTCTTATCAGCTACATTTGTTGTGGGATGTGGGAAGATTACTGGAGTTCTGTGAACTGACCCCCAAGTGTGAACTCTGGAACACAAACTTGACAATTCTCCTGCATCTCTTTGCCTGTGGCCAGCCATAGTTCATATTGCTTGGGGTGATTTCAGTCCTGTTTGTTGAACCACTGTGGAATTAACCAACAGTGCATAGGCACCTCCCTGCTGTGGGTTGAATCCCTGAACTGTTATGCTCCCAAGTATGACTAGTCCAGGAAGGCAGTGGAATGTAATGAAATGAATGCAGAGGATCTGGGTCTGGATCTTAGCTCTGCGCTTTCTACTCATGTGACCTTGGAGAATTCGTTTTACTTCTTTGGGCACCAGTTTTCTCACCTGTTAATAAAGAGATTGAATTAGATAATCTCTAAATGGACAAGAATTTATGGATTTACAGACTGCTTTTATTTAAGATGGTCTATATCCTAAAGTTCCTCCTTAATTTGATATTCAGTGTTCAAAGGTCCTTTATAAATTTGCTATTTCATGTTCTGTGTTCTAAGTTTCTTTCTTGGTCAAATCCTCTATGATCATAAGCAATGCCATAGATAAGAAACGGCATTTGAGGTCATAGGTTAAACATGGGCCAGCCCAGTATTTGCTCCATTCCAGATACAACTATTTCCTTTATTTTTGAACATGAGGATTCTCTTAGGAGAGAACATTGTACTAGGAGTCAGAAGACCTGATTCTACCCTGGGCTCTGTCATTGACTTGCTGTGTTAGTTCCTTTAGCAAGAAATGTAGCAACATTTGCTGCACTTGCTTTGGGGACAAAATTAGGGGAAATGGTTAGAAGTCACAGAGAGACAGATTGTGCTTCAATGTGAGGGAAAAAATTCCTAAAAACTAGAGTTACCCAGAAATGGCCACCTCACTGCTCCAGTGCTAGAGTGTGTCAAGGAGAAAGGCACATATGGGGGTTGTTGCAAAATGGATTCCTGTTCTCTAGAGTTCCTTCAAGATAAAATTCCATAATCGATTTTATCTCTCTGGGTCTCCATTTCTTTATTTTTAAAATGAGTACTGATTTATTTATTTTTTTACCTGCTCTAAGATGGCTATTAGGGTTGTCAGGCAAATCCAATGAGAAAATAGGCATGAGAATATTGTGAAAAATGCAACACATTATAACATATTATAAGATTAGAGGATTTAAAGCTAGAAGAAATTGAGGTCCAAAGAGGTCAAGTGACTTGCATAGGGTCACACAGGCAACAAGAGGCTTAGCTGAGAATCAAACCTGTATTTCTTGACTCCAAATCTACTTCTTTTCCCACTACACCATTCTGTGATATTGTGCTATTTTTAATCTTTAATCCTCTATACATTTATCTCAACATCCCTCCTTCCCACCCTGGAGGAACTCTAAAATCTATATGTGACCAGCTTAAAATTTTGGAAGAAATTATGGCTTGATAATTGGGGTTGATGCCACTATGGATCCTATTCTCCTAATATCTTCAGATTCTGGTGGACAGTACAGTTTTCTTAGAATAATTCATTCTATGTACATATGCATTTACTCCTGTGCTAACTGATAAGCATACATTACCTTATTTCCCTTGAAAAGGGATTTCCATGCTGAACTTGTAGATTTTCATTTATGTATCCCCAGAAATCTGGAAAGTTGAATTTAGAACTTAGCTAGTTAAGACCACTCAGTTGAAGACCAAGTTGTCGGCTGGTGAGATTTATTTACAATCCAACAATAGAAAATTCCCATAAGATAATGTGATTCTGTAGTGTTGCTATGCTGCTGATTTTTATCAGCTATCTCCCTACACTTTCTGGGAAGATTTTTGAATAGTCATTATTATGTGCATATAACATGAGGAAGTCTGTAGAAAACTAGGTAAACCAAAGAACCTGGTGCCTCAAAAAAGTGCCCAGTGGTTGCTCCAAACTCATTGATATGTATTTTCCTCAGTTAGTGGCTGATGGAAGGAAGGAAGCTCTTTGTTCTGTCTCTCGGTAAGCAAGGACTTCTGCTATTCTATGCTTATGACAAAAAAAAAGTCAGGGACTAGTACAAGAAAGTTGGTTTGCAGGTGGAAGTATTGGCCCACAAAAAATGTCCACTGACTCATCTGACTACAGGCAAGTCTTAGTTTGTAGTTCTGAAGACTGTTTCTAAAAGTGAGTAAGAGCTGCAGGAGAAGAGGAAACTCCCTTGTAGAAGCGAGGCTCCCGTAGCCTTCCACTTTATAGCTGACTTTTGAGACTCAGTGAAGATTCTCTCAGGTAACAAAATGATTCAACTACATGGTTTTCTAATATGATCATAAAATAGCAAATAATACAAAACATCAAATTTTGCCCTTTAGGGCAGCACCAGAAAGGGTAGGTGAGATAGTGGCCATTATTTACATAATATGCATTACACTGAAAATTCCAGTGAATCTATAGTTATAAATCAGTGACTTTGTGATCAATTATTTATTATTTATTTGTTCTTAATTAACTTTTTTCTCTCATAACATTCTTCCTGTGGAATACAAGTTCTTTGAGGGCAGGGATCATGCCTTTCCTATATATTAGTATCCCTAGGCACTAAACATAGGTTTTGCACATAGAAGAAGCTACCTGTTTTGATTACCTCCAGCTTCTCTGCCTTCAGTCTTTGGTTAGGTTAAATTTTCTAAAGCATAGTTTTATCATTTCACTGCCTAAACAAAACCCTCCAATGATTCATTATTAGCCATAGGGTAGTAGTATCTAAACTCATTAGCCTAATATTTAAGACCTTCAACAATTTGACCCTAACTAACTTCCTAGCCTATTTCATACTATTCTTCTACACAAACTATCCCTTCTGCTAAAAAAAAACCAAGCAAATAAAAAACTCCACACATTTTGTATTCCCACTTTTCTTATGCTATTGCCCTCATCTGAAATGCCCACTCAAAGCCCAGCTCGTACATCTTCTCAATGAACTTAATCATGACAATGATCCCTCCTTCTTCTGAATTCCTATAGTATTTCCATTCTATGGAACTAATTTGGTACAAGACATTGTAATGTGGTTATTTGTTATTATCGTTAGCTAATTTTCCTTTTATTTACCTTGTCTTTCATAAAAGACTAAGTTTCTTGAAGTCAAATGTGGGGTTTTACCTACCCCACAGCACCTCATACAATCCTTTGTCCATGATAGGCACTCAGTAAATCACATTTGTATATTCACAGTTATAAAATTTTAGAACTAGAAGGAACCTTAGCAATTATTTAATCCAGTCTTCTTGTTTTATAGATGAGGAAACTGAGGACCAGAGAGGGAAAATTTCTTACTCCAGGCCACTCAGTTAATTACTGGCAGATTCAGGACTAGAATTCAAGTCTTCTGGGTCTCATGACATTTTCTTGATTGATTAAAGTTCAAGTGAACAAGCATAATTCTAGTCAGGAGACCCAGTGCTGGGTCTGGTGGATTTTATTTGCCAGGAGCTAAACATTATAACCCCCACATAAAAATTATTGGGCCATACTTTGTAACTTTGGGAGATCAGGAACATGAAATTACCTTTTCACTCTTTTTCCAACAACTTCTGTTCTTTTTCTAGACAAGAAGCCTTTTACTGTGGAAGATACTTACTTGCTCTGTCCAGCCCCCATCTTGGAAGAAGTTGGCATGTAAGTTTTAACAGATGCTCATCAGCTTGAAACTAGATAATCCTATTAACAATCAAGGGGGCGGGGTGGGGGAAGCTTTTCATGTTCTTGTCTATTTCAAAGATGAATTCATTACAGTGAATAATTGACTTGAATGCATGAGGGAATAAATAGAACGATGGCACACAGATGCTGAATGTTCCTACAGAGGTGTGTACTTCTTGACTTTCAATTGCAAAGACAGATTTGGATCCCAGACTATAAGTGTGATTTTGTTTCAGTGCATACTAATGAGAAGTAGCTCAAAATCTCAAGGTGGAGAAAATGAGCCCAGTGAGCTTTAGAAAGAACAATATTGGAGTATGTGACTAGGTTCAGAAAATATATTACAGAAGCAGTCTACTTAGACAAAGATAAAGGCATTTATATCCGGAAGGGGTCTTTGAGACAGATCATTTAGATCAACTCTGGATCTTACAGATGACAAAACTAAAACCCAGAAAGGCTGGATGACTTGCCAAAGATTACACAGGTAGTGAATAGCAGACCTGAGATTTAAACCCAGGTAGCCCAACTCCAAATCCAGACCTTTTGCCATTCCACCATTTTGCCTTCTCACAGGACAAAAATTATCTCACTATTAATAGGATATATGCTAATGACTAAACATGTTAGTTTCATGAATCAGCACTGTATCTATATATCTTTCTTTGTTTATACTTTGTTTATTGGCATTATAAGAATTTTTGATTATCATCATCAGCAATTGAAAGCATTGCTTGAGCCAAGGTCCTTACTACAAAATTCATGAGATGTGAAATTCAAATACTTGTGGAAGTTCACATACGTCCTCCTTCATTCAAGGGCATTGATATTGTTTAGTAGTAGTAGTGATAATGATAATAATAATAATATATTACTAATAATAACAATATAATAGCTAGCAATTATATGGTATTTTAAGGTTTGCAGAGTGCTTTACGAATTATTTAATTTTATCCTCACAACAACTCTGGGAGATAGGTGTTATTATTATCTCCATTTTACAGATGAGAAAACTGAGGCAACTGGAGGTTAAGTGACCTGCCAGAGAGTCACACAACTAGTAAATGTCTGAGGTCAGATTTGAGCTCAAGACTTCCTGACTCCAGGTTCAGCTCTCTGTCTACTATACCATCCAGCTGCCTACTTAGAGCAAATTATTGGCAACAAAAGTATTGATAAGATTTTATTTCTTCATCTGTAAAATGAGGGGGTTGAACTAAGGTCCTTTCCAGCTCTAGCCTTCTACTACTTGACCCCCAGCTAATAGACTTACTGGGTGTCTTTTCATATTGGGAATATTAGCCAGTGTTTGATCTTTATAATGTGCACACACACAGTGAAAAAGCAAACTTCTTTAACCCAAATGATAGAAATAGTTGTTGGCCTAAAGCAGGCACGAGGAGGTGAAAGACCAAATTGGCCAATTTATTCCTGCATATCCTCTTCAAAAAATCCTAATGATGATACAATAACCCTGGGTATATTGTTAAAATTATAGGTAGAACATAAAGCTAATGATGTGTGGAGTTGAGATTTTTTAAGAAGTATCATGCCCTCCTGACTTGTGGAAAATAAGTAAAATAGAAATAGCTTTTCCCTGTTAGTGACTCAAGAAGCAAATATTTGACATCAATACAATGTGCCAACTGAATGATAGCTATAGGGCCATTTTTTGAGGTATGATTGGGTATAATAGGAAAATCATAGAGTATCAGAGATGGATGAGTAGCTTTAGATATAATCTTATCTCATTCCCCCAATTTACAAAAAAGGAAACTGAGGTCAAATGATTTTGCCACAGTTTCATAGCTAGCTTAATTGCAGAACAGGAGTTAGAGTCCAGGTTTCCTGACTCTTATTCAAAGGTCTTTCCAGTGTTATCATGCAAAATATCTGTGAATGCTCTATTTTCATTGCAGGAAAGCTGCACTCCAGGTCAGCATGAATGACGGCCTTACTTTCATCTCAAGCTTTGTCATCATCACCACCACACAATGTGTAAGTCTGAGCATTTTTTATTTACTTGTCTAAAAAAGTGTGATCATCCTTATAAGCAACATTGCAAAAGCACATATCTCCACCTGTCTTAGTATCAGGTTATATACAAAAAAAATTTATTATGTAGTTCATGTCTTCTAGAAATTTAAATTTTGTATCACTAAAAATAAAATCAACATTGGAAAGAGGACTGGATTTGGAATCAACGGTTGCTATCCTATCTGTGTTACTCATTACCTAGATGGTCTCGGGTCATTCATTCACTTATTTCCTTGGATTTCAGTTTTCTCATCTGCAGAAGGAAGAGATTGAACTAAATTATTAATAAGGTCCCCTCCAGTTTAAAATCTTATCATTTTTATGGATCTGTAGTCTGTCTGGTTTTTCACATTAGAAACAATCATCTACAAAATTTCCTTTCCCTTTGGACCAATATCGTCACTTCAGTGACAATACTTGGCCTTTCCTCCCACAGACACCTGCTGGTTCTCCAGCAAATTTCAGGATAGGCATCTATTACCGCACCACCTTTCCGTTATCTTCTATGTCCCCTGGTTTCCAGAAGTAATCCTAAAGCGATTGCCCTTTTCCACTTTCCCATAACTTTGTCTTTGACTAGTTGCGTAAAACTTGGAAAGCTGATTTCAGGACTGTTACTGCTCTGTGTCGGGAATTCTCTCCCTCCTCATTCTTGCTTTTGGAGATTATTATCTTCAAGGGCCAGGCTAGGTGCCACCTTGTCCATGAAACCCTCTGAGATGGCCCAGTGCAAAGTAACCTCTTTTTCTGAAATTTCCTTTTCTTCCATCACTCTCTACATTGTATTATATTTATTTGCTTATGTATTGTATCTCCCCTAAGAAATTATGAATTTCTTCAAGGTCAGGACTGTGTCATATTTTGTCATTTTATCTCTAAGGCCATACACAATTCCATGATACAAATATATGTTTATGGATTTGAATAGATATTTTTAAAATAGTATTTTATTTTTCCCCAATTACATGTTAAAGCATTTTTTTACATTTTTAAAAAAAAGTTTTGAGTTCCATATTCTATCCGTCCTTCCCTCTCTCCCCTCCCCCATCCTGAGATTTAAGCGATCCAATATAGATTATACATGTGCAACCATGTAAAACATTTCCATATTAGTCATTTTGCACAAGAAGACTCAAAAAATGAAACTGAAAAATAGCATAATTCTGATGTTTTTAAAATTTTTAAAAAGATCTCTAGTTATTTCCTTTCACTAGGTAATCCCTGCCCATGTGTTAGCTACCTAGGATATGTACTAGCTATGAGACCTCTGAGCAAGTCATTTAAACTTTCTCAGCCTCAATTTACTCATATGTAAAATAAGAAAGAAAAAAAATGCACGCATGTGTCTGGGATTACAAGAGAGCACCACAACGGAATCCTGACCCAGAATGAATATTACGCATCTGCTGTTGACATTAACATCTCGGACATTGCCCTTGTAGGTTGCCTTTTCCTCGGAGAATCTAGTGCTTCAGTAAGGACATAGCATAATGCAAGTTAAAGGCAAACTGCTAAGCACCGACTCACAGAATCTCTGACTTGGAAGGGACCCCAGAGGCTCTCTAGTGCACCCTACCTCAATACACACCCTCTATACAATATCCCCAAGCAAGTGGTCACTCGGCCTTTGAAGGTTGAGTAAGGAGGAATCCACTCCCTTCCAAGACAGTCCTTTCCACTTTTGCATAGCTCTAATGGTTAGGAAGTTGTTTTTTCCAGCTATCAAACCTAATTTTATCATTTTTCAACTATATCTATTGTTCCTTGTTCTGTTCTCCAACGCCCCTACCCCTACAAAAAATATCTAATCCCTCTCTCACAAGAACTCTTCAAATACTTGAAGACAGTTATCAGGTTCTCCTAAATCTGACCACCCACTGGTGTCTTCGACCAATTTCCATTTAGCAGAGACTCAGTCCTTCCTCATCCCAGTTCCTCTCCTCTGTATGAGCCCCAAACTGGCTTTGTAAATAGTCACCTTTGGGGCAGCTAGGTGGTGCAGCAGATAGAGTACCAGCCCTGGATTCAGGAGGACCTGAGTTCAAATCCAGCCTCAGACACATAACACTTACTAGCTGTGTGACCCTGGGCAAGTCACTTAACCCCATTGCCTAGCCCCCCCCAAAACAAAAACAAATAGTCACCTTCAAAATATAGCATATTGTGGTCCCTGGCAGACTAATCTATACAGGCATGCCTTGGAGATATTGTGGGTTCCCCTCCAGACCACCACAATAAAGCAAATATCACAACAAAGTGAGTCAAATGAATTTTGTGGTTTCCCAGTGCATATAAAAGTTATGTTTATATTATGTTATAGTCCATTAAGTGTACAATAGTATTGTCTTCAAAAAATGTACACACCTGGATTAAAAAAATACTTTATTGTAAGAAAAACGTTAACCATTATCTGAACCTTCAGTGAGTCATAATCTTTTTGCTGGTGGAGGGTCTTGCCTCCATGTTGATGGCTGCTGACTGATCAGGATGGTGGTTGCTGAAGATTGGGGTAGCTGGGGCAGTTTCTTAAAATAAGACAACAATGAAGTTTGCTGCATGGATTGACCCTTCCTTGCATGAAAGATTTCTCTGTGGCATGTGATACTGATGGATAACATTTTGCCTATGGTAGAACTTCTTTCAAATTTGGAGTCAATCCTCACAAACCTTGCTACTGCTTTATCAACTAAGTTTATGTACAATTCTTCAACATTGTTATGTCTTGGGGAATAGGGAGGCCTGAGGAGAGGGAGAAAGACAAGGAAATGGTTGGTTGGTGGGACAGTCAAAACACACACAACATTTATCGATTAAGTTCACTGTTGTACATGCCACGATTTGTGGTACCCAAAAACAATTACAATAGTAACATCAAAGATCACAGATCACAGATTACTATAGCAGATATAATAACAATGAAAAAGTTTGAAATATTGAGAGAATTACCAAAATGTGACACATAGATGTGAGCACATGCTGTTAGAAAAATGCGCCAACAGATTTATTCAATGCACAGTTGCCACAAAGTTTCAATTGTGAAAGGGAAAAAAATGCAATGTCTGTGAAACACAATAAAATGAAGTGCAATAAAACAAGGTATGCCTGTATTCACAAAACCAATTCTTTACTTTTCTGCAGAGTTTTATACTCTGCAAACTGTTTTCACATACTGTGATGGTGGTGGATATTACAATTTCTCAGATTATAAAGAGGCAATATCGTGGTTGGTTCTAGTTTCTCCCCTCTGTCTAATTCATCATCTACACAGTTGCCTAAATAATATTTCGATTGTATAAGTCTGACCATGTCACTCAAAATTTCTTCCTCTAGAATAACTCTTTTTTTAATTCTAGGTTTAAATACAAATATCTCCGCTTGGTCCTCAAAACCCTCCACAATCTGGCCCCTACATATCTTTCAAAATGTATTTCTTATTAATAGCTTCCATATAGTCTATTTTCCAGCCAAACTGGCCAACTTGTTCTTCCTCATAGTTGACATGCCATCTCCTATCTCAGAGTCTTTACATTCACAGGCTGTCCCCTAATACCTGGCAGGCACTTCCTAATCTCCTCCACCTCTTAGAGCCCTTGGCTTCCTTCAAGGAAGGATCAACTCAGATGTCCCTTCCTATCTAAAACCTTTCTTCATTGCCCAGTAATAAGTGAGTGCTCTCTCCCTATTGAAATTACTGTGTATTTATCTGCGACATGTTGTATAACATCCCCACCATTCATGCCCCCTGCCCATAAAGTAATGAAAGTTCATTGTGGGCAAGGACTGTTTTATTTTTATCTTAATCTTTTATCTTTATAACCCCAACACCTAGAATAGTGTCTTACAAATAGTAAATGCTTAACAGGTATTTATTTCATTGAATTAGATTGTGATCCTTTGTGATTAGGTTATGATAAAGCCAGAGCTGAGATCCAGGTAAAGAACTCTATGAGGGGCAGCTAGGTGGCACAGCGGATAGAGCACCAGCCCTGAAGTCAGGAGAACCTGAGTTCAAATCTAACCTCAGACCAAACACTTGACACTGACTAGCTGTGTGACCCTGGGCAAGTCACTTAACCCCAATTGCCTAAAAAATAAAATTAAAAAAAAAGAACTCTAAGAAAAAATTAATAAAGGAGATAAGACTTTTAATTCTAAATCCTATGTTCTTTTAAACTAGGTTGGAATTCTAGCTTCAGAATTACATATATACATACATATATATATACACATACATTTTATATCCATTCACATGTATACATCCATGCAACTATAGGCAACTAATTTCATTTCTCTGTGTCTCAGTTACCTCAAATATAAAATAAAATAAAAATAAATACATTACCTACCACCCAAAGTAGTTGTGATGATCAAATGCAATACTTTGTGTCTTGTCTTTCAACTACATTGTGTACATTTTAATGCACCATATAAACTAAATAAATATTTTTATTTTCATCATTATCCCCAAAATATAAGCTAAAAGGCAAACGCAATCTGGGTTTCAGTTAAAGGCAGTTCTGCAAGACTTAGAGCATATAAGATGTTCAAATTCAAAAACCTGAGCTCAAATTTTAAAAAAACAAAACTGTATGGAATGGATACATATAAGTCCATGAAGTTGTTTAAATATATCGAGACACTTCTGGAAAATAAATTCTGCCAACCTGCAGGAAATAATTAAAATGCCTCCAGTCCAAAAACTCAGCCCCAGATTCCTTCCAGCTTTTGGCTGCACCAGTCTCAGAACTGAATTTCTCATCAGGTCTAGACTCAGGAAAGAAAGTGTGAGTGGAACCCATGGCACCACCACCCAGGTGTGGCTCTGTAAATGTGAATTCTGGTGCCCTTTTCATCTTTAGGACAGCATACACAGGTCTCCGGTTGGAGTCCCACCCACTCAATGACACTTTCTCAAAGCACTCCAGCCCACCAAGATCTTTTTTTCATCTAATTTATTATTT